GAGCCCAGGAGTCTGAGGTTGCTGTGAGCTAGGCTGACTGACGCCACGGCACTCACTCTAGCCAGGGCAACAAAGTGAGACTGTCTCAAAAAAAAAAAAAGTGCAATTATGTAAAAAAACTTTTCTGAAAATGAGAAACACAGGGATAGCTTACAGTAAATAGTTTAATTGTAAATTCATAATAAGGCCTTTCTCTTTGAGTACTGTACATGTTAATTAAATACTGAAATTGGAAGATAATTAGTGGGATCAAATGTGTATTTCTTTAGGATATGCTTAATTTTTTCAACAATTATTGCTTGATGGCTAGATTATGTTAATATAATTAGTAGAAATTCTTATTTAAAAAGTGTGAATAAAGGGTATCAGTTGAGAATGTTAGTGAACTTAAGTTTCATGTACAAATTAGAATATTCTTTGAATTTTCATTTAGGAAAAGGTAATACAGATGAGACGTTTAGAAATATTTGATGTGTATTGGTTTCTGTTGGACATGAAATACTATTAATTTCATATTTTTACAAGTTGGTTAACTGAGTGCTACCAGAATTTTTTAACTTTGAAAGGATTCCTAAGGGCGTTAATATTACTGGCTCCCAGGAAAAATTAAAAGCTTGATAGTTTGATGTGGTTTCATGGTATGATAGGGATTATTTGTTAATTTTATATGAAAATTTAGTCTGAAGATTAATTATAATATTGAAGAGCAGTAATGGCCTGAATACTGAATATAAAATGTTAGATATTTCATATTTTGAATGTACATCTATTCGTTTCTAAATGTGAAAACCAGCAGTTTAGAGTACTTACAGTTCAGAGTACCCATGTTACTCGTTTATCCTCTAAATATGTATGGAGCGTATCTTACATGCTTGGCATTGAGAATATAGTTAAAAAGGAATGAAACATTTTTCTTTTTCCTAATTGAGTTTATCGTCTAGAAGCTCATCATTCAAAAGATTTATTAAACCACCTACTAGATGCAATATACCATATTAAGTAAAATGGGAGATGCAGAGATAACTAAAACATGAACTTATAATCTTTGGGAAAGTTGAAGTGTGGTGAAATTTTAATAGAAGTTTGTGTTCTAGTGTTCATCAATTTTACCACTAACTGCTTGTGTGCCTATATTGTATGGGTAAAGAGCCAGTTAAAATGAGGGAAAAATTGAAGGACGGAAAGTACAGGGAGAGAAGAGATAGTTTCTATTTTGGGAGGTTTGGGATTTCTTGGAAAACAATCACATGCTAAGCTAAAGAGTTGTTATAGATTTAATTTTATTTAGTTTACAGAGAAGCGAAGAGAACTGAAGTTTGATGGTCGTTTAGATAAGGAACTTTCAGAATCCTATGCATTTCTGATGGTTGATCGATATCAGGTGAGTTAACCTGTTTTATAAAAAAACAATTTGAGGATATTTCCATTGTAAGTTCCTGATTTTATAATTCAATAATACAGTTGATAATTGTGAACATTTTCTTGTTATAAAAATGGAAAATATGATTCAGTGGGGTAAAACATTTTATTGTTTTGTAATTTTTTTCAAATGTACTCATTTTTTTCTCTGACCAATCGTATTTTCTTCCCTTAGAACATGCTTGATAATTAATACTTTTCCTTTTATTAAAAAACTATCTTTTATATTGTTGATTACATGTACTTAGAACCATTTTTCCCCCTTTTAATTGAAGCTGTTTAGGTGGAGTTATATTCTCTTTAAATATTCTGTTGGATCGGCCGGGCGCGGTGGCTCACGCCTGTAATCCTAGCACTCTGG